GGGGGGGTGGACGATGTCGACTCTCTGTGCTGTTGCTGCGCGAGGGGGGGCGGGGGCCTCTTTTCTCCTCCGTCTTGGGCTTTGGCCGCCAACCTCCGTAGCTGCCGCCAGGGCCTTGGACGCCTCTCTGGGTGGTGGGCGAGGGGTCTGTCCGGTGCTTGGAGGAGGGTGGGCACCGGTCGAGGTGGGAGGAGGCTGCGGGAGGGGGGCTCTGACTCAGGAATTGAAACACGAGGCCTTTTCAGATCAGTCAATGCAAATCTTGCTCTCCATCGTACCCAAGTGCCAGAATGGATGCGGGGGGGGGGCTCTGATTTCGTGTGGGGGGAGAGAGAAGGGTTTTTTTGGGGGGGGAGGCAGCACCCTCTCTCCCCTCTGAAGATGGAAGTTAGAATCACGTCTCTCCCTCGGAAACGGTTGCGGTTGGTCCCTTTGGTCTCTCGCCCCTTATCAAATAGCCATTGCACTGCAAAGTGAGAATTCCTCGTTCAGGGATAAAAGGACTCAGGTTCTGAGGGCGACGGACCAGGGAGCCCGCTGGGGACGCCCCGAAGCCACCTTCTGCTGGGAGGGGGGGTGAGTGGGATGTCCCCCCCCACGGAAGCAGCCCTGCCTTCCCCTCAGGAAGCCCCACCCCAACCCCCTTTGCGGGGGGGAGGGCCCCCCAGGGGTGTGCGCCCCCTTCCCAGCAGGAAGCGAAGCTGGCAGCACACTTAAGCGAAGAGCCTGTTCCTTGTGCCAAATATTTAAAGCCGGTGGAGGGCGAGTCTGTTGAAATTCCACCTGTGACTAATCAAGAGCATAATCCACATCACCTGCATTTTTGGTTTGCTAGCCACAGGAAATGTTAGGGAGTGAAAACTTGAATCTGTGACCCACTTGCCCTGTCCCCTCCCAGCCAGGAAGTTCTGCAGAGTGTTGGGGAGAAGGGAGCTCTCCCCACCACCTCCCCACTGCTCCCCTTGTGCGCGGAGGGGCCCCCCCACCTTTGGCCCGAATGGCTCTTGCTGACATGGAAGGAAGGTTTCACTTTGGCTCAGTGAGAAGCAGTTTCCCGGTCATCCCTGCATGCCAAAGAGGAGTGCCCCCCCCCGAGCTGTGGCCCCCTCACCTGCCCCTCGAGTGCATCCTTGTCTTGCGCTGTACAAAGGGGGGAGGCAGTATGCGTGTTGGGCCTTTGACCTCTTTGGTTACTTTATTCCATAAATTGTTTTGCTTTTGAGAAATGTAACTCTTTTTTTTTTCCTTTGGTCTTACGGATCCTGGTGGATTTTAACAAGAGCAATTTCTTTTGGTTTGGGATACTTTCGATTAGGTTTTTTTTTTGTTTTTTGCAATCGTTCAATTTTTAGAGTGTTAAAGTGGCAAAGTATTTACTGACTTTTCTTCGTCACTCTTCACGAGACATGGTCCTGTCTTTTATGATGCTTTTTGACTCAGCAGGGACGATACAACCTGAGCGACGGCTGCTCTTAGCTTGAGGTATTTTTGTCCATGTAAAGCAGGATTTAAAATTGTGTGTAAAAAAAAAAAGAAGTAAGTAGTCCTCATGCTTTTGTGCAGTGCCTTTAGACGTTCCACTTTCTATAAAGTCTTCAAAAAAAAAGTTTGCATATATATTATATATATGATGTAATGTTATAGAGATATATGTATAATATACATATTTTTCCAGGGGTATCTGATAGCTCTGTATTTTGTTATGAAAGTTGATATGAAAAGTATTTTACCTCAAATTAAGAAGTTAAATAAACCTTTTAAATAAGCCTCCCACGCTGCTTTGGGGTTCTTGGCTTTGGGGACCGGGGGTGGGGGGGTGACAGAGTGCAGGAGGGCCTCCGCTCCTGGACCCCACAGAGAGCCATCCCCCCCCCCAATCTGGTGGCAGCCAAGTCTTGGGTGTGTGCATTGAGGGGGGATGCCATCACCAAACGGGGAGAAAGGACCTGCAACCAATCCCATAGATCCTAAACTAAATGCATAAATGACCTTCCATAAATACACAGCAAGTGTAGCAAATCATTGTCAACTATGGGGAAAGGCCAAATGCGTCTTGACAATTTTTGTTTATGTACTTCATGTGTGCCCCACTTCCCCCTCCCCAAAGTGGCTTCCAGCGTTCTCCACCCCCCCATTTTCTTCTCACAACAACCCAGTGAGGTAGGTCTCCTGAGTCTTTGTGGCCGGCACCAGGTCACCCGCAAGCAGCCCTGGCCAGGGCGGGGCTCTGGAACTGGGTCTGTTCCAACACCGGAGGCAGCGGCAGTCAGGAGGGTGGACCAGAGGCTGGGCCGGGCCCGCTTTGGCGGTTTGGCCCTGCCGGCTTCTGCTGGGAGACGGCTGTGGCTCATTCTGGTGCGCCACAGAGTAACGGGAGCGCAGCCCCCCGGGGGGGGGGTGAGGTCACCCAGGGGGCTCCTGGGAGAGGCATCAGGGTGGCTGGTGGTGGTGCTGGGAGTCTTTCGCGCCTCCTGTTTGGCCGGCAGCACCCTCGGATCTTTTAGCACCAGGAAAGAGCGAGCGAGTCCAGGAGCACGTTAAAAAAGACTAGCACAATTTGTGGTGGGGAGGAGCTCCCTTCCTTCTTCAGGCACTGCTAGAGTGGGAGTCTGTCTGTCCTTCCGCTTTAGAGAGTGGATTGGTTTCAGATGCTGAGTGTCATTAGCAGGCGTGATTGGATGAGGTGTGATAATGCAGAGGGGCAGCAGGCGTGGAGAGACCAGCACTGGTAACACTTCTAGTGTTCTTTGCTTCCATGTTTTTACTTTATTATCAGACTTATAACCGCCGCCCCCCCCCCATTCCCGGGTCACAGGGCTTGGGGTGGCTCACAACATTCCACAAAACAATGTCTAAATAGAGATAAAAGATACTTAACAAAACACCGACTTGTAATCTACAAAATGGCACCTTTGCTCAGGCATTAGAACAACGCACAATCGTTTGGCATCCGACACCCCAGAATGCTGTCACAACGGGTGGCCCCTGCTAATAGGTGGCAGAAATTCTGTTTTTAATGTTCATGTTTTTTTATGTTTGCTGCCTCATGAATCCTGATCAGGTGCAAAGGTGGCATAAAACGTTTTACAGAAAGCCAATCAGTGACAATGGTATGAGAGCCAGTTTGGTGTAGTGGTTAGGAGCACGGATTCTAGTCTAGGAGAAGCGGGTTTTATTTCCCACTTCTCCACAGGCAACTGCTGGTGTGACCTTGGGCCAGCCATACTTCTGTCAGGGCTGTTCTCTCAAGAGCAGTCGTTGAAAGAGCTCTCTCAGCCCCACCAGCCTCACTTGGTGGCTGTTGTGGGGAGTGGAAGGGAAAGGAGTTTCTAAGCCACTTTGAGACTCTGAGGGAAGGGTGGGGTATAAATCCAATCTTTTCTTCTGTGTCGAATTTAGGGATGTGCATTCGGTTCGTCTGAACCGAATGCACCCCTGAAAACGTCCCATTCGGGCTGATGCGGGCTGATTCAAATTTTCTGATCTGAATTGGCTTGCCGCCTAATTGCCGTCGAATTTCGGCGGCAATTCAGCCCCATTATATCCTATGGGCCTTTGAAAATGGTGAAAACATAGGGTATATTCTGGGGGGTGGAGGGGAGGGGGTTTGAGGGAGGGGTTCCAAACTTACAGGGTAGCTGCTGGAGTCTCTTCTCAAGATACCCACCAGGTTTCAAGGACATTGGACCAGGGGGTCCAATTCTACGGGCCCCCAAATAGGTTGCCCCCATCCCCTCCATTGTTCTCTATGGTGGGGGGAAAGTAACTTTTCGGCTGAGGGCTCTTGAGAGAACAGCTCTGAAAGAGCTATGACTTGCCCCAGTGCACCCAGCAGCTGCAAGTGGAGGAGTGGGGAATCAAACCAGGTTCTCCCAGGTTACAGTCCACGCACTTAACCACTACTCCAAACTGACTCTCACACCAAATGGCCCAAATGTGTAGGGCTCTATTTTTCTCTCCTCTCTGAGTGCCTCCAGTAACGGAGCTGCTCTAAGGCTTCTCTGCCATTGGGCTGGCTTGGCTTCCGGGGGCTGGAGGAGCTGCTGCCCTGCAGGGACAAATTGCTTCAGCTGCCCTGGGATCTCCCCCGAGCAAGATCTAGGCCAGAGCCCAGAAGCCCTTTCCTTCTTGACAGATTATAGCTGCGGGGGGGGGGAGCCTTTTCCGGGACTCGAGAGCCTTTTATATAACTCCGTCTTACACAAGGTAGTGGAAAACACACCTCTGGCCTGATTTCTGTCGAAAGCTGGAAGCTGTTCTGGGGCGGCCGGTTCCTCTTGCCTGGTAGCCTCCCAGACTGGATGAGCCAGTCGGGGCTGGCGCATCTGCAGGCTCCTGGTCCCGCTGGGCCTTCTTGTGGGAGCAGGCGCTGGCTGCGGAGTCTAGCGGCGCACGACGGGTGTCTTTGGCCTCGTCTCCATCCCCAGGCGGTGGGGTGGGGGGTGGGCATACCACACAGCCATTCCCTTCCAAAGTGGAGCAACGTCTGAAAACATTTGGGGGCATGCCGTGGGAGGGGGAGGGGGGCTAAGCCTGCCTCACCGTCCAGGAAGCCTGCCTGAAGTCGCTCGCTTGGGGGCTCCTGCCTGCCTGCCTGCCTTGGAGGAGAGCCAGGACCCGGCCCTGCTAGGACTTTCCAGGCAAGGCCTCCTGTGCAGATCCCAGGAAGGTTCCTCCAAGAGGCAAAGACTCTTCCTGGCTGGGGGGGCATTTTTTAGGGCAGGAGCATACACATCTCTGCTCCCTGGGGAATCTTTGCTGTTCTCCTCCTGGATTTCTGCTTGGGGAGGATTCCTAGGCGAGAAGCTCTCGTTGCTTAAGAGCATGAGAAGAGCCCTGCTGGATCAGACCACTGAAGGTCCCTCTAGTCCAGCATCCCGCCTCATGGACCCTCAAATGGCACAGCGGCCAAGGCACCGGGACTCAGACCTTAACTAGCTCTCGATATGGAGGCTCCCTTTAGTCAGTGTGGTTAGGAGCCACGGGTGGACCTCTCCTCTCCTCTGTGACTTTATCTAATCCCCTTTTGAAGTCATCCATGCTTATGCCCAGGGTTCATTTCGTAGAAAAAGAGGTGCAGGAGCTCATTAGCATAACCTATTTGCATATGCCACACCCCCTGACGTCACCGGACGTGTGTTAGGAGGCAACACCCATCACTCAGGCTCCACTGGACTGTTTTGGATTGCTAGCTATTGGGGGGGGGGGAGGAACGCGCAGATCTGTCCTTGCAGAGGAGGGAGAGCTTGTGCCTGGATACAACTTGAAGGTGCCACTGGACTGTTTTGGACCAGGGGGCTGCGGGGGGGGGGGCTCTGCAACTTACCTGGCTGCTTCTTGCTCTGACTGAGGGCTGCTGGGACCAGGGGGTGGGGCTTGTTGCATGTGCTCGCCCCCTGGGCTCTTTACTGCTGGAGCTCCGCTCCTGTGCGTTCCCGCAGGGAATGACTCCTGCTTATGCCCATCCACGGGCAGTAGGTTCCACAATTTAATAGCTCATTGAGAAAATTTGAGTAAGGACCCACTCCCCGGGGACGCTCTCGGAGAGTCACGATTAACTGTGATGTTTTATATTTGTGTTGTGTTTTATGTTTTTTAAACTTTTATGTAAGCCACCCTGAGCCTGCCTTGGTGGGGGAAGGTGGGATACATTGGTGGTGGGGTATGAGCTTTTGTGATATCTGATTTCATGATATCTGAAAAAGTGAGCTGTGACTCATGAAAGCTCCTACCCTGCCACCAATTTTGTTAGTCTTTAAGGTACTCCTGGACTCTTGCTCTTTTCTACTTCTACAGACAGACTAACGCAGCTGTCTATCTTCATCCTTCTCGTTCAGTAAAGAAGATTTGCCTTTTTTCATAGAATCTCAGAGTGGGAAGGGGCCATACAGAGACCATCTAGTCCAGCCCCCTGCCCCAATGCAGGACCGGCCTAGAGCAACCCTGACAAATATTCCTCCAGCCTCTTCTTGGAAGCTGTCAGTGAAGGGGAGAGCTCACCGCCTCCCTGGGCAGCTGATTATTCCACCCCTGAACCACTCGGACCGTGAAAACGTTCATGAGCTTCATGAACTCATCAACTTCCTTGACACCCCTCCCAAAGTTCTAATGTCATAGAAGAAGAAAATGTTCTTTCTCCACCTCAGAAAATAAGTATAAGGACAACAGTCATGAGAGTCTGACCCACAAATCAAGCAGTCACCAAGACTTGCAAAGAAAAAGCTTCCTGTGTATTATAATCTAAAGTACTACAACATCATTAATAAATCATACGAAAATCCTTGTGCATCGGGACATCATCAACGCCGTCTCCGGATTATATAACAACGTTTCAAAATTGGATCTTCCTCAGGAGATATTCTGCAGTGTACAAAAATACAATTCTTTAGAGTATATACTATGTAAACAATTCCTGAATGTAAAAGGGGAGGGGGTGGGGAGCCTGCATCCCTCTCCTCTTCCTCCACCCTATCAGAGTCATCAGAGACTTGGAGGGGAGTTGAGGAGGATCCATCACCCCCCTCCCCTCCTCCCAACCCCTCACCGGAGTGAGCAGACCGTGGGGAGGAAGCGTTGTCTGCCAGAGCGCCCCCGCCCTGCACGCTGCGGCTAGCGCTGTTAGAGTACTGTCTAGAACTTCTAATCACACCATTATCATAATTCTCAATCAACGCATCGAGCTCCTTGCATTTAGCTTGCATGACAGAGAGAAGAGTTTCTATAATCAACTGCCTCCGTCTTATTTCTGCTTCCTCATTCTGTATAATGGTGTCTACATTTATTAATTCCTGCATGATCTCATGAACTTTTTGGGCGGCCCCTGCATGCTTTGGAGAAAGGTCTTCCTCCTTCTTCTTTTTCGGGTTAGGGCCCCCCGAGTTATTGGACACAGCCGGGCGTCTCTGAGGATTGCCCCTGACCAGCCTCAGTGGTGCAGAATGAGATGTCCCAGGTACAGCATCTAGGGGAAATGACATAGAAAAGACCGTGTTATCTCCTCTCCTGCATGTTCTCTCGATGATGATTATTATTAGACCTGTATGATGGATTATCCCCTCAGCAAGAGGCCCTTAGCCCACTTACAATATAGCTGAACGTGCATCAGAGAAACCAGCCATAAAATGCAACCATTTCTAAAATCCAATAACAAAACCTTCTCTGTGTAAGACATTCTAAAAAATACTACAGTACACAGAAATAAATCTTATCTAAAGGTAAAGGTTCCCTTGCTCGAAAGCCAGTCGAGTCCAACTCTAGGGGGTTGCGGTGCTCATCTCCGTTTCCAGGCCGAAGAGCCAGTGCTGTCCGAAGACGTTTCCGTGGTCATGTGGCCGGCGTGACTAAACACCAAGGCGCACGGAATGCTGTTCCCTTCCCACCAAAGTGGTACCTATTTATCTACTTGCAATTTCTTGCTTTCGAACTGCTAGGTTGGCAGGAGCTGGAACTAGAGACGGGAGCTCACTCCGTCATGTGGCACACTCGGGTCTCGAACTGCTGAACTACTGACCTTCCACAGCCTGCAGTTCAGTGTCTTCACCACTTGAGCCACCGCAGTTCCAAAATCTTATCTACAACTGGGTTAAAATGTTTTTGAACCTTCACACCTTTACACCACCACTGCACACACAGAGAGAAAGCAGAACCAGCGGGGCAAGCGGGGCAAAACACTTTGCTCAAAAAAGGCCCTGATGAGTACATTTAAAGACGGTTTAAGACTTTAGAGAAATCTTGCCTGATTCCATGACTGCTTCAGGAATAGGTCTGGCCGGAGGGTAGGTCACTGGCTGGAGGGCTCTGACTGGGAAAGGAGCCACCTGTGGGGGGCATCTGCCGTGTGTAGGAGCCGCTTGTTGGGGAGCAATTCTGTCCCACGTAGCAGACAATTGTTGAGGGTCTCTGCCAGGTGTAGCTAACGCCCGCTGGGTGGGATCAGCCATTTCCCCTTCGGGGGTTACAGCTGTAAAAAAGAGGGGAAAGACAGGAAATTAATCCTAAAATTTGCCATCCCTTCGAACGGTGTATAGACCCTCAAAAGCGCCACATACCCACTTCCTCTGAGATGTATTGGTGAGGGGCTATATGCGTTTCACCTGTTGCCTGTGGTGCCTGTGTGGCCTGGACATGGGGGTCAACTGGCATAGGCATGCCCATTTGTTCACTTAGAATTGCTGCAGACATAGAACATAAAACCAGAGAGTCTATAAAACCTATGACTCTTATCAGAATTTAAACCCACCACTCCACGCGTGACTTGTTGTATCTTAATTGATTGCAACCCACCCTGAGCCGGCTCGTGGGGAGGGTTGGATAGAAATATAATAAAACAAGAAAGAAGACCCGCGAAACTCACAGGGGGCGGGGCTCCAAACTGAGCTGCCGGAGGAGGAACCAGCAGGAGCAGGTAAGCTCCCCCCCCATCCTGCCGGTTCCTCCATGTCCTCCACCACCACCCCCGCTCGATCCCCCACCGCTCGAAAGCGAGGCCCGCTCGGCTTGTCGTGGCGGCAAGGCCGGCTGCCCCCCCCCCCCAAGCGAGGGCCAACGGCTTGTAGCCAGCCGGGCCTCGTGCCCTCCCTTCCTCTCATGGGTCCGGCCGGCTGGCTTCGAGGCGGCGACAGCGAGGCCAGCTGTAGAGCGTTCCCTGCACATGCGCAGGGAACGCTCTGTCAGTTTTGGGGGGATTTAAGTATCCCCCCGTTTTTTTAACTTTTCAGATTTTTGTGCACACCTGGGGACCACCCCACGTGTGCACAAAACTCCCCCTCCCCCACAGGTGTCCCCGGTGCGCGGATTTAGCTATCCGCACACCAGGGGGCGACTTGGCTATTAGATATATAGATACAAAATCAAATAAATACCTTCCAGGTCACGCAGATCTTGGGATAGGTCCTCCATTCCTTGACTTCAACAGTGCAGGAACGTGAAATGCAGTGCACAGACGGCTTTTGTTGCTTCTTCAAGGGTGGTGCCCCACCCTTCCTTCTTATCAGACTCCTCCAGAGACAGCCCAACCCAGCCATGGTCTGGCTAGGGTTAAAAATCCCAAGGTTTGAGAAACGTTTAAGTTGGGGCCCTTCCATGGCATTTTAAAGACAACACATTTTAAAGAGCCTGCCACCCCTTATTTCCTTAACATTTCCCTGCCTGAAAGAGCATTTTATGCCGTATGGATGTGCTGCTTTTTGGGGACTGCTGGAAAATGGTGTAGTATAATCTACCAGACCTCTGCTCACTTGCAAAAAAACTAATTTCACACAAATTGAATAGCCTTTCTTCAGAGAAGACTTTCACAGGCACAGAAGCTGTTGTGTGTGGGAGGGTTGTGTGTGTCTTGTGGGGTGTGAGGCTCCTGATAAACTCCAGCCTGCGTCCTTATCTTTAATAACACCAGTTGTCTCGCTCTGGTCCAACCCCCACCCCTTCTAGACACAGTTTTGAATTTTTTCCCCGCACAGACAATGGGCCTTTGAAATTATTTTTAATACAAAACCTTTTTGTTGTTTTAACGATGTGTGTTTGGAGGGGTTAAGAACATAATGAGATGCCAATGTTGGATCAGGCCAAAGGCCCATCCCGTCCAACACTCTGTGTCACACAGTGGCCAGAAATACCAGGTGCCGTCAGGAGGTCCAGCAGTGGGGCCAGGACACCAGAAGCCCTCCCACTGTCGCCCCCCCCCCAAGCACCAAGGACAAAGAGCATCCCTCGCCCCAGAATAGAGAGCATGACTTGCCCCAGACCGAGCGTTCCTGTCTATACCTTGTGGCTAATAGCCACTGATGGACCTCTGCTCCATATGCTTATCTAATTCCCTTTTGAAGCCGTCCATGCTTGTAGCCACCACCACCTCCTGTGGCAGGGAATTCCAAGTGTTAATCACTCTTTGGGTGAAGAAGTACTTCCTTTTATCCGTTCTAACCCGACCACTCAGCAATTCCATGGAGTGCCCACGAGTTCTTGTATTGTGAGAAAGGGAGAAAAGTACCTCTTTCTCTACCTGCTCTTTCCCATGCATAATCTTATAAACCTCGATCATGTCCCCCCTCAACCGTCATTTCTCCAAGCTAAAGAGCCCCAAGCGCCTCATCCTTTCCTCATAGGGAAAGTTCTCCAACCCTTTTATCATTCGAGTTGCCCTTTTCTGCACTTTTTCCAAAGCTATAATATCCTTTTTAAGGTGTGGTGACCAGAACTGCACACAGTATTCCAAATGAGGTCGCACCATCGATTTATATAGGGGCATTATGATATTGGCTGATCTGTTTTCAATACCCTTCCTAATAATCCCCAGCATAGCATTGGCCTTCTTTATTGCAGTCACACACCATTAGTTGGTACTAGCCACAGAGGTCCACATAGGAACTCTCAGTTTGGGGCAAGGGATGCTCTGTATTCTTGGTGCTTGGGGGGGGGGGCAACAGTGGGAGGGCTTCTAGTGTCCTGGCCCCACTGCTGGCCCTCCTGAGGGCATCTGGTATTTTTGGCCACTGTGTGACACAGAGTGTTGGACTGGATGGGCCATTGGTCTGACCCAACACTGGCTTCTCTTACGTTCTTATGTTAAGAGCAGAGGTCCATCCGTGGCTCTTAGCCACAAGGCAGAGATAGGAACTCTCGGTCTGGGGCAAGGGATGCTCTGTATTCATGGTGCGGGGGGGGGGAGTGGGAGGGCTTCTGGTGTCCTCCTGGCCCCACTGCTGGGCCTGGTCCAACATTGGCTTCTCTCTTATGTTGTTATGTTCTCCTCTCCCCGGCATGGAGCAAATCTCACTTGACAATGCAGCTGGTGGTTTCCTGTGGAGTCAACGCTCAACGCCAGTCTTCCCGCCTGACACAGCCACTGAAAAGTTGTGTGTGGCTCTGTCGTGTTTGTTCCGCTTTCTTCCCCAACTCTTCTTCGTGCTTCAATTCCGGCAGGGAAGTTAGCCAAGGAGAAATGACAGACTGGTCTGGTCCGCAGCGCTGAGGCAGGCGGTGAAGTCCCACAAGGCCCAGAGCGGCTTCAGAGCGGAGGGGCTGAGAACTGGATCGGGGGGGGGGGAGTTTCTGGAGGCCTCTCCCCCACCTGGGTGGGTGTGCCGGGCAGTGGTCTCTCTCCTGGAGGGGCCTGCCCACAGAGGCCAGCCAGCTTGTGAGCGGCAGAATCCCCAACCACACCTCCTTTGGACGGCGTGGCTCCTCGGTGGTGTCCCTTTCGTTTCCTTCCCTGTGACGACGACCAGTGTTTATGGGGCGCGTTTCCCGTGTTCACGCCGAGGAGCATGAAGCACTTCCGTCTCCAGAGCCGAATAAATCTGGTCTAATTGTTGGCCTTGCCATCGTCAAGCACACCCATCCCGAAGGAACCAGGTCAGGACGGAGGACACCGCCCCGAAGAGGGGAACGTCCTGTCCTCAGTCAGACGGCTTTGGGAGAGACGTCAGGGCTCACTCCACAAACTGCCCTGGAGGCGCTGGGTGCAGCGGGGTCACAGACCCATCACGGATGGGATTGGGAAGCGGCTGAGCTTTAGCAACAAGTCCAGTGGGGGAAGGGCCTTCCCGCCCGTCTGCCGGCGCCTCCTCTTTTGTGCCCCGTTTCAGAGAACACGCTTGTAGCTCTGGCCTCCGTGTCTGTGGTGTTGGCAAAGCAATGCGCAGTTCCGTGTCTAGCCCTTTGCTGTGTGACCCCTGCGCCCAAGAGGTCTGCCCTGGGCCGTTTGGTGCAGCAGTGAAGTGCGCAGAGGACTCTAATCTGGGAGAGCCGGGTTTGATTCCCCCACTCCTCCACTTGCACCTGGCTGGATGACTTTGGGCAAGCCGTAGTACTGACAAGAGCTGTCCTCGAAAAAGAGCCGTTTCTCTCAGAGCTCTCTCAGCCCCCACCTTCCTCACAGGGTGCCTGTTCTGGGGAGGGGAAGGGAAAGGAGTTTGTAAGCCACTCTCAGAAGAAGAAGAGGAGAAGAGATTAGATTTATACCCCATGGCCCTTCACTTCCCAAGGGAGTCTCAGAGTGGCTTACAAACTCCTTTCCCTCCCCCTCCCCACAACAGGCACCCTGTGAGGCAGGTGGGGCTGTGTTGGGTATTACAAGTTGAAAACACTCAGTATGTCTGGGGTTAAATGTTTGTTTATGTTACTCACAGGAAGTCACATGTTTCTCAGGTAACCAATGTTCTTTAGCTGTAGGAATGCCCAGGAATTTTCTCCCTGATCTAGGGATTTGATTGGGACTAAAGTGTCAAGGTGTGTTACCATTTTATGGCTTCGAAGAAGAGCAGCCATAATCTCCTCTCTTCTACTTTTGTCTTTGTAGAGTAAGGATGTAGCCAATTATGCTCTGTTGTTATTTTCATCCCAGTTACCCTTCCCTATGCTAGAATTTAGTAAAAACTTTATATTTTAATCACACAGGGACTCTCAGTCTGAATTATTTTACTCTGGCTCTGCGAGTCTATTTTATCTCTGCTAAATGCCATTTTTTTCAATATCTCACTATCACCCAACAGGCTGAGAGAGCTCTTGACAGAAACGGCTCTCGTCAGAACTAGGGCTTGCCCAAGGTCATCCAGCCAGGTGCAAGTGGAGGAGGAGCAGGGAATCAAACCCGGCTCTCCCAGATTAGAGTCCGCGTACATAACCACGACACCAAACTGAGACTCCCTTGGGTCGTGAAGGGTGGGGTAGAAATCCAATCTCTTCTTCTTCTTGAAGCTGCCCCAACCCCCCCCCCCCCAGGTTCGTCAAGCTCCGAAGGGTCTACTACTGGGACTGGCGGTGGCTCTCAGGCAGAGGTCTTCCCCACCCCCTTCTACCTGTTCCTTTTAAGGGGAGATGCCCCTGCCGGGGGAGGGAGCCCGGGGCCTTCCGCGTGCCCCTGAGCCACACAGCCCCCTCCCCATGGGTGTGCCGGTGGGGCAGGAGGTGAGCGAGGAGCAGGCACAGGGGAAAGGCAGGCCTCCCCTGGCGCAGGACCAGCCCCTCCACCCCGCAAGAGCAAGCATGGGATGCCCTGGCAGCCTGGGGCGGCAGCCTCTTGCCAGCCTAAGCTCCCCCCCCCATCCATCCTCGCCTGCCTGTTGCCCCCCACCCCAACCCGCCCCCTCGGCCCCCAGACGGAGCAAACCCCCACCCCAGTACAGCCAAGGCCGCCACTGTCTGTTCCTTCCCGGATCCTCTCCTAATCCCCCAGCCGGCTGTAATCGCATTAAGCAGCACTGAAACCGACAGGCCGGTGGACTCCTGGCTTGGGGAGTCCCTGCAAAGCTGGAGGAGAAGAGCCAGACCGGCCAGGACCAGTTGCGGGCGGGGAGCAGCTCAGAAGACTGGGGGGGGGGGGGATTTGGCAGAGGGGGGGGCAGTGGGCCCGCCTCCCCCGGAGTGGCCCGGCAAAGACTTGGCTTCCTCTCCAGCTGTTACAGAGCAGGAGGTTCACCCAGAGGGCCCGGTGGCCCGGCCTGAGCCCCTGGCCCTCCCCGGGGGAAGCGGTTGTCTGGGCCACACGGAGGAGCTCTGTGACAAGAGAGGGCCCGGTCCCTGCGGCAGCGGCGGCAGGTGCAGAGCTGAGCGGCCCACAGGACGGGGAGGGGCTCCCCAGGGGGGGAGGCCCAGGTGGGCTCTTCGAAGCGTCACCAGAAGGCCAGGCCAGGTGAATCCCCCCCGGGTGAGAGCGAGCCGGGGGGCTGGGAATGACCCCGGGGACCCCAGATGGGTCAGGCCAACAAGGGCCTCTCTGGTCCAGCATCTGGCCTCATGCCCGTGTCCAGGCAGTTGCCCCAGAGGGCTAGCAAGCCCCCCCCCCGCATGCACATCCCGGCTGCCAGCCAGGAGGCGATCGGCCAGGAGCCCTCCACGGTCGCCTTTGCAAAAGTGCGGCCTGTTCCACGAGCCCGTTAGTCGTCCAGTGCCGGCTGTCTGGTTCCCGTCTGGTTCTA